CCTCTCCCTCTCCCTCTCCCTCCCCTCCAGAAAGGATGTTCAGCAGTGGAACCTGTGTGAGGGTCACACTGTCAGACCTCACACCCCTAGGGGTGTCCAGAGCTTCATGCTTGAGGGCAGTGTGGTACCAGTGTCCCCCTCCTCCTTCCCTCTCCCTCTGATTCTCAGAGTGCTGTGCTCCTGTGGGGGATAATCACTCATGGCCTCTGTTTGTGGCCACATTATGGTGACAATGACCCTCAGCCATGCCCAAGCCAGAGGTTGTGTCCCTTGGCTGGCCTGCTCAATGACTTAGTTTTTCCAAAGGGAGCTCTGCCAGTGCAGTGCATTTCGCCTGCGTGCAGGAGGAAGCCACCATAAATTCCATCCACGTGGGTTCACAGATGAGGGAGGAAAATTTGAAACTCAGAGAGCATAACCTGGAGGTAAAAAAAAGTGATCTCATGGGTGATCTCATTTCCAATTACTGTCTGCTTGGGTTAATTCGGATCACTAGGTGGACAGGTCTTTTTTGCAGTTTGAAGGGGGTGCTAATTTGGTAAGAGATGAATCCCCTTGCATTCCAGCTGATCCTCAGAAGTTAGAGGGACTGTGGGTGTCTGGACTCATCTCTTCATAGGAATGCCAAATGCAGTGGTAACTATCGTCCCCACTCTGGCAGTATCGGATACACAGTCTGTCAACTGTAGGTCCGATTGCCTTCAAAACAAGTAGTCAAGTTCATGAATAGCACGATATACTCAAATGCAACATTCAGAAAGCAGGTTTTGGATGTCAGTACAAGAAATTCTCTACAACAGTGTGGGGTTCTTAGCTAGTGCCTAGTGTACAAGTGCACAACCATCACTCATGGGAGAGGGTGGTCAGTCTCAAGGAGTCTCCTCAGGCAGCATGTGGACCTGATGGGAATAAAGGGGTTCAGCCCATTGACTGATCCAGAAGTTATGATGGAGTCTTCTCTCTTCCCTCTTCTTTTTTCCCTCTTCCTTCTTCCTTCCTTAGTTCACCTTTTTCTTTTCTCCTTTCCTTTCCTTTCCTTTCCTTTCCTTTCCTTTCCTTTCCTTTCCTTTCCTTTCCTTTCCTTTCCTTTCCTTTCCTTTCCTTTCCTTTCCTT